CAAAAGTCAAAGGATGGCAAACAGTCCTTTATGCAACAGGAACCTGGAAAAAAGCAGGGGTAGTTATTCTATTTGCAGACAAAATGAACTTTAAGTGAAGACCAATCAAAAGAGACAATGAAGGTCACTACATACTTGTTAAGGGGAAACTGCAAGAGGAAGAGATAATAATGATAAATATACATGCACTAAATACCAATGCATCCAACTATATAAAACAAATATTAACAGACAAGAAAAATGAAAAACCAGTAATACAATTGTAATGGGGCCCTTTATACCCCACTGTCACAAATAGATCAACTAGACAAAAACTTCAACAAAGAAATATCAGAAATAGACAAAATCTGTGAACAAATGGACTTAGTAGCTCCCTACAGAGTATTCCACCCCACAACATCAGAATACACAGTCTTCTTACTGGTGCACGGGATATTCTCTAACATAGACCATATACTAGATCATAGAACATGCTTAAGTAAATGCAAAGGAATTGAAATTATCCCATGCATATTATCTGACCATAGTGCAATGAAATTGGAAATCAATGGAAAAAGAAACCACAAAACTGCATAAACACATGGAAATTAAATAGCACCCTCCTGAACAACCAATGGGTCATAGATGAAATTAAAGAAAAAATTAGTTTCTATAATTAGATGATAATGCTGATACAACGTATCAGAACTTACAGGGTGCAATGAAAGCTGTCTTGAGAGAGACATTTACAGCAGTGAACTCTCACATCAGTCAAACAGACTGCTCAAATAAACAACCAAATTTGAACCTCGAACTTCTAGAAAAAGAAGTACAAAGTCAAACGCAAAGCTTGTACAGGTGAGGAAATTACAAGGCTCAGAGCAGAAATCAATGGAATGGAGCCTAAGAAAACAACACAAAGAATTAACGAATTGGAGAATTGGTTCTTTAAAACATTAAATAAAATTGATAAGCCCTTAGCCACCCTTATCAAGTTCAAGAATTAGGAATGAAAATGGTGAAATCACAACAGATCCTGTGAAAATCCAGAAGATCATTAATACTTATTTTGAGAAACTGTACTCTAATAAGATGGAAAACACAGAAAAAATGGGCAGATTCCTAGATACACATGAATTGCCAAAACTGAATCAAGAAGATATAAAAATTCTAAATAACCCAATATCAGTCAATGAAATTGAAAATGTAATTAAAAACTTGCCAACAAAGAAAAGCCCCCATCCTGATGGAGTCACTACTGAGTTCTCTAAGAATTTGCAGAATATCTAATGCCATTACTCTGCAAACTTTAATGAGGTTGAAAGGGAAGCAATACTTCCAAAGTCATTCCTGGAAGCAAGTATTACTCTGATACCAAAATCAGAGAAGGACAGTGCCTTAGTTACTTTTTTCTCTTTGCTGAGACAAAATACCTAATATACAAAGTTAAAGGGAGAGGGATTTATTTAGTTCACAGTTTGTAGAGGTTTCAGTCCTTATCAGGTGGCTCCAGGGCAGGGTGGCACATGGCAGAGGGACAACAGTTCTTGGCAGTCAAGGTGGCAGAAGATGTTAAAAGCAGAGAGAGAGACAGAGAGACAGAGAGAGAGACAGAGACAGAGAAAAGGAGGGAGGGAAGGAGAGAGACAGAAAGAGAGAGAGAAGAGAGAGAGGGAAAGAAAAGGAGAAAGAGAGAGAGAGAGAAGGAGAAAGAGGGAGAGAGAGAGACAGAGAAGGAGAGAGAGGGAGAGAGAGAGGAAACAAGCCTCTTTCTGTTCCTTATATTGTATCCAGTCTACCAAGATTAGGGCAGTGCCAATCCAGTCAGTGGACTGATCTAGCAATCACCTTCCCTTAATCCCAGTATAGCATAAAATGCCCCGCTCCATTGCCCAGGTAACCTCCAGTTTACTTTAGTTCCTGTTACAATTCCTGTTACTTCTGTTTCCCATGGCTGGTCACTGTAATGCACATTGTAAGACCCAATCTCCTATTGACAAACCATTCTGCCTCTGTACCTCCCCTCTGCAACCCCATGAAAACCTCCCTCCCTGAGCCTTCAGGGGCGGATTTCTTTGGGAATCATTCCAGTTGGGACCACCGGTGTAATAAAGCTGATTATTGCCTCCAAACATTGGTGCCACTAAGTTCTTGGTCACAGCTTTGCTGTTACAACAGGACCCGTAATCCCTATCAATAGGCAAGCTGATCCTAAAGTTCAAAACGCAGGTACCTAAAATAGTGAAAACAATCTCAAAAAAGAACAAAGTTGGAGAATTTATACTCATCATTTAAAACATTTTTACAAGACTATATTAATCAAGACAAGTGTTGCTGACATGAGACAGGCTCGTAGATCACTAAAACAGAACTGAGAATCCAGAAATAAACCCAGGTACATTGGTCACTGACTTTGACAAGGAGACCAATGGCATTCAATGAGAGGAAGAAGGACATTTTCAATAAATATTGCTGGGACAATTGGATATTTATATGGAAAAGAATAAAATTTGACCCTTACCTCCCATCATATTCAAAAAATTAATTTAAAATGATCAAAGATCTAAACGTATAAGCTAAGAATATAAAATATCTTAGAAGTAACATAGGGTAAATCTTGGGTTAGGCAACAAGAAAAAATGGATAAACTGAATTGCATCAAAATTAACTTTTGTCGGGCAGGGGATTTAGCTCAGCGGCAAAAGCGCCTGCCTGGCAAGCGCAAGGTCATGAGTTCAGTTCCCAGTACCGGAGAAAAACCAA